CCCCCCCCCCCCCCCAAAAAAAATACAGAGATATGCAGTTATGCCCGTACAAACCAAGTATACTATCCAGGTTGAATAAACATCATTTCTGTAGGTAACACCATTTCAAATTACTCCTATAGCCAACACAAAAGTTCAGCTCTCCACAGCACGTGCCAAATACAGCCAATTACCACCCCAGTCCTTTCACCGTTACAGAGATCCTCACTGGTTTCAGAGCCATTTATTTTAAGGGCAGATTCCCTCCTCATCAACACCAGTCAGTATCTGGAAACTCTCATCATTTCAGATGCAGAAAATTGTACTGATAAAGTTACGATGGAACAGAAGTGAGAGCACGTGAAGCATCATAAACCATCTCCGATCCATTTACTGGACTAGACCAGCATAAAACTGTGAACCTTATCTTTCCACCTTCCTTCACATGTTCTGTATTTACAGGGCATTAAAATCCTACTACTAGTAACAGAAGACTCCTTTCTAGTGCACCTCCAAAACAGTTTTAAGTATCTGTGTACCGTCCTCATCATCAGTTATAAAACCACCTCTCCTCTTCTTGACCTATTCTTGTTCATCTGCTGTTATTTAACTCTTTAAGGCTATTTGGGAGTCACAGTGTTATCAATGGTTGTGTAATTCTTGGAAATAGAACGAATTTTAAGCTTTTAAACAGCACAATAGGAACATACGCAACAAAACACACGGATACAAGGGGGTTTTCCACCCGTCCTCCACTTGTTCTAAACCAAAACGTCTTAGTGATCTAGAATAGCAGTCTTCCGTATTTTTTTTCAGCTTGTCAGCCCCAGAATAGTTAGTGGTGCAGAAATCTGTATAATGAACATAAGCCTACAGAAAACAGATGTCCTTTCCTCTGTTGCTTCCTACCGACCCCGGGTAAGTTGTTTGCAGACGGCCGGGGTCCACTGCCTGCAAGCTGAAAGCCACTAATCTAGAACTGCGTATCCTCTTACTGTTTGTTCTGCTATCCGAGAAGTTACATTAAAATGGCATTACGTTTCTCAACTCCAAACTGACTAGTCTTTCTCCATATAGCCTATTAGCAACCATTCCTCCAGAGCTTTCCGTAAAACCCTATTTCCAGAATCAAAGATTCATCAAAAACAAAACACCATCATTTAAGATACCTCACTTTGCCACAGATTCGGACGCAGCACAAGTCCTTCACGCTAAAGACTGCCCAACCTACCTATAAATAGGCTCAAGGCTTCACGCTCAGGAGACCGATAGCTAAATGCGATCCTCACGGCGTTCCCCTGTTACCTACATAAAGCAGCATGCCTTAACAACGCCGGGCTAGGCAGATACGTAGCTACTGCTGTGGCTTATGCAGGATAGCACGGAGGGAAGGGAGAGGAGGGGAAAAAAAAAAAAAAAAAAAAAAAAAGGAACAACAACAACAAAAAAAATCACTGGGCATAAACAGCTCTCTTCCGGAGAGAAAAACCTCCCTCTCCGGAGGCTAGAGCCAACCGCAGACAGGCTGTCACGGCTCGGCCATGGGTAGACCCTGCTAGCCAAGGACAGGCCCTTCAGAGGGTTTAACGGGGCAGGGCCCCAACAGCCTCTCCCTTCAGCCGCACGCCGGCCAAGACCCCGGGGCCAGCCGCAAGAGGGTCCCGGCCACCTCCCCTCGGGCAGAAGGCCTTCAGGACCACCCACCCCGTCCCCAGGAACGACAAACCAGGCCCGGCACCCTGTCAGACCCGAGCCGAGCCGAGCC